TTCCTGATTCCTTACTTGAAGTGTGCAGCGGTATAAATGATCCTAATTTTGGCTATTCCCAAGGACAACCTTGTATTCTTGTAAAAATGAATAGAATCATTGGATTAAAGCCTGAAGGATCACCAAAGATAGACTGTATTTCAAAGGATGAATATCCACCAATTCTATCAACTTATCCTAATCATGGACTCATAGACTTAAAGTATTTTCCATATTATGGAAAGAGACTGCATGTGGGCTATCTCCAGCCACTGGTTGCTGTCCAGGTCTCCTTTGACTCTAACAGCACCAAGAAAGAAGCAACGGTAGAATGCAGAATCGAGGGATCAAAGAACCTAAGAAATGAGGCCGATCTTGACAAGTTCTTGGGAAGAGTTGTCTTCAAAATCACAGCACGCGCATAGCCTTGAGTAGGATGTCTCCGCCGAATAAATGTTGTGTTGTCTGTCTTCATTGTGTGCCCGCTGGACCTGCCAATCTAGAATTCTGAGACCGCCCAGGGAAGGTGGCGCTGCCCAGCCCGGGGCACAGCGTAATGTGCTTCCAGATCGCAGTGTTCCGTGTCCTCTGAAATAACTGCCTGCTGCTCTGCTGCCCTTTGAACCAGTGTCCAGTCGCCACACAGGGACCGGTGAACGCCTGATTCCGAGCGTGTGGGGTGGGGGGCTTGTCCTCTTTTTTAATGTGGTTTAATTGCCAAGTGTCTAAAGCTCAGTGTGCCGTGCAATGTAAATATTATGGATTTAACACTGGTTAACTCAATTTTGATGCCAACAAGGTTTTAGGGGTTAAATAGTACCTGGCCAACATTAAGAGACTGGCTGCAAGGAGCAGGGTGGAGAAGCTCTAGGTGAAGAAGCAAACAGAATAAAAGTGGATCTGAAAGTGTTATCTTGGTTTTTTTGTAAAATTATTTTTTACATGCCGAATTAGTCTGTGGATCTTCTTGATCAAGAGCACAAACTTTTTGTTATAAAACATGTTTTTAAAAAAGCTGGTAGGATTATTTTCATGTTGGAACCAAGTCTCTTAGAATGTATTTCAGACCATAGTGAAAGCGTTTTTAGGTTAGAATGAATATGCACCTAATTTTTTATGAAATTAAATTCATGAGTCTTAAATTGTATAATAGTTTGTGAAATATCTTGTTACTGCTTTTATTTAGCAGACTGTGGACTCTAATAAAAAGATTTAAATTGTGAAATATAAAAATTGGAACTTATTTATAGTTTGAAGCCAAAAATTGAAGTTTTACATCACATTCTTTGGTGTCGTATTCCCTGCTTCGGTGTTGGGTGTGTGCTTGATGTGGCTCTGGCGTCACTTCCTCCCCTGGAGGCAGTGCAGTTCCCATATGTTCTGCGGGTCTTTTCTTAACCTTTTTGTTACTGTTGCTTTGTAAAAAAGAAATCGGTATGCATAGTGTCCTGTTGATTCAAGCCCAAGCTGGTGAGTCAGCCCAGCGCAGGAGCAGCTGCTGACTAAAGTGAGGTGTGGAGTGGCCCTGGCACGGCCTTGGTGGCGGGCACCTCTGCCTACAGTCACCCAGCTGGTGTGGCGTTGTGCTTATTGCTCTGTTGCCAAGGTCGTGCAACCACAGTTTTCTCTGCAAATGTCTTTGCAACTGAAGAAAAATGGCCCTTGCCGTTAAACTTAATTTGAGATTTGATTTTCTTCTTTGTACTACACTTAAGAATGAAAACCAAAAGGTTGTTAAAATGGAAAAGAATCTCAGACCTACAGCAAGGATGTTGTTTTCGTTGGCCGTTTGAGCAGCTCCTCAGCAGCTAGCAAATTTGACTCAGGACTATTTGATTAAGTATTCCTGTGGGGTTTGCTTATTGAAATGTAATATGGATAGAATTTTTTTTCTTTCTTTTTTTTTTTTTTTTTTTTTTTTTTTTTGATGAGCTTGAGCAAAAGCAAACCAAATTCCTAATATTAAAACAATTGGGGATGTATAGTAATGAAATGGGGACATGCGTCACTAGAGCACCGTTTTGCCGGCGCCCAGCTGCTACGTGGCCTCAGCTGACCCTGGCTCTTCTCCCACCTTCATCTGTGCAGTTAGCTCTGTCCCAGTTCTGTGGCGGGGAATGTGCCTGGCTTGGCCCCCAAGAAGATGGGAACACACGGTCTCCGATGAAAAGCAGGAGGGAGCAGGAGTGTTGACAGTCCCAGCAGGGATGCAAAGGTTGGGGCCAGGCAACAGCTCACTTGAGTGAAAAGGGCCCCAGAGAAGCAGCGCTTGCCCTCGCCGAGGGGGAAGGGCCAGGGCCAGGTGTGGGGCGGTAAGGGGTGGCGGGCCTTGCGTTACCCTGTCTCCGCGGTCCTCAGAACTTAGGGTGTGCAGAGGCCCTCAGCTGCCCATGTCGTGTCACACTGCCTGTTCACAGCGACGGCTCACACGACACCACAGCAGCTTTGCTTCCATGACAACTAAGTCTAACAGGTGTGACACTGGATGAGAAAGTGGTCGGTTTTGCTGGCTGGTACAGGGCATTTTAAAGCAGTATATTGTGTTCCTAAGGAAATATGCTAGTTTTCTTAGATTGCCAAGATGTTCTAAATTTGGGGCACTTAAAGGGAAGCTTGACTGTTGTATTTTGGTCACTCAGAGGTGACAAGTTGCGTATAATTCAGTCTGTCCCGCTTTGCACGTATGGGCTTAGTGCCATCCATGTACAGTGCCTTATGCCAGGATGTTTGTACACTGACGTTTGCATGCTTCTTGCCACTGAGCTGGGTCTGCATGCGTGGGGGAAGACCTATTGGCTTCAGGAGTTTGAGGCAAGAGAATGGCCGCTGGGCTACACAGTGCAGGGCTGGCCAGAACTGCACAGCAAGGCCTTGTCTCGGAAGAGTGTAAGATTATCCTGGGCTTCTGCCTCATCACAGAAGACGGAAGCAGCTGCAGGAAGAAGCTCCAGGCACACTTGGACACAGCGCCCCTCTCTGCGAGGGATCATGGCTGAAGAAGGGAATGTCGATTCTGCCCGTGGTTGGTGAGCTGGGAGCGCAGGCCCTGGCAGCCCTGCGGCAGAAGCAGAAGCTCTAGCCAGGCCACGCTGTGCCCGACTCTGCAAGTGGGAGAAGAGCCTTTGGGGCAGCTCAGCAAAGCTGGGGTGCTCGTCATCTCACTCCAGATTCTAGACACAGCCTGAGCACAGGTGCCGCCACCTGTGATCTCAGGGATCCGGGTGCAGAGGAAGCGCTGCCCCGGCAGAGCAGCGCTGCAGGGCTCCAGCTTCTGACAGGGCTCCTGTAGCCTGCCTAGCTCCTAACCGGATGGGGAAAGCTAAAAAACTCACCTCATCACTAAAAAAAGTACAAAGTTGCTGTTTTGTCACTTAAGACATTTCATTTTAAAAATTCATTTTAGAGCCAGGGAGATAGCTCAGCAGCATAAGTGCCTCCCTGGTGGGGGTGAGATGCTGAGTTCAATCCCTGGTACCAAAATAAATTAATAATTCATTTTATTCTGGGCATGGTGGTGCATACCTATAGTAAGCACCTGGGAGCCTGAGGCAGAAGGACTGCTGTGGGTTCAAGCTAAACTGGGTTATAAAATGAGTTCAAGGGCAGCACAGGGGCTGGCCAGATAGCTCAGCAGACTAAAGCACCTGCTTAGGCAGGTACAGGGAGCGGGTTCGATTCTTGGTAGGCCTTGCCGGGCCCCGCCCCCCCAGGGTGTGCTGAAGCAGCAAATGAAGCTGGACGTGGTGGTGCAAGCCTGTAATCCCAGCGCCCGGAAGGCTGAAAACAGAAGAATCACTGTGACTCCAATCTGTAGTGAGACCCTGTAGACCCTGCAGACCCTGTACTAAATACATTAAAAAAAAAAAAAAAAAAAACCTGCACTGCACAGTAAAAGCCTGCCTCAAAAGGACAAGAAGTCAGAACTGACAGAGGCTCCAGGAAGGGCCCTATGGCTACCTCGCGGCGGCGGCCCTGGTTTCCTCCCAGATCCATTCCTGCCAGCCTTGGTCACAGTACCTTTTGTCTCCCATTTCCATGGAGAGGTGAGTGGTGGGCCTGCCCAGGCACATGGGGCTTTGGATGCACACGTGGGGCCCCACAGAGCCTGCTCAGTGCCGCTGCCAGGGGCAGCACTCGCCCTGGGGATGGCATGCTGCAAGGACTCAGGCCTGCGGCCACTTGGAGAGAAGCCCCCTGAAAGGAGGGCAGTCACCTGCAGACACTGTCTACCAGGGAACCCCTGTGCTATTTTGTGCAACCATTCCTACTACAGACCTCGGGGCCGACCTCCTCCATTCAAATCCAGAGAAGGACCATCCTGCAGCCTTTCTGCCCACTCTGCTGAACATGAGATGAATCATTTGACTTGGATTTGCTTGCATGAATGTAAGCCACACTTTCCAGACCTGAAGGCTGTCATGAAGGGACTGGGAGCTGCTAAGTTCTTGCTGTGCACCTTGGAGCTATAGTGCCTGGGTTTCAACCCTTTCTGGGTACCCTGCTGGGGCTCTGCCACTGTGGCAGTAATTGAAACTTTCTCGGGATTTGGAGTCTAGGAATTAATGCCTAGGACAGTGCCTGGCAGTTAGTGTCACTCATGTCTTAGCTCCTCATCACTGTTACTTGGGAGCTAATGATCTTCCTCCTTTCCTGCTCTTTTCTCTCCTAGCAGTGTCTGGGCCCGCAGCAGCACTGGAGTCTTGCTCAGGGTCTGGGGGTTTCTTCCTGTCAGACCCTACTTGCTAATTCCAGGCCTCAAAGTGCCATCCCCAAGGAGGCTGCAGCAAAAGAAGCCAAAGTGGGGAGGAGGTATGGACTCTGGAAAAGTCCCCAGAGGGCCACCCACAGCCCGCAGATGCAAGCGGGTGGCAGAGCAAGAGGAATGCAGGCCGGCTGGCTGGTGTAGAAAGCGCTCTGGGCGGAGTGGGGCAGAGAGCCTGGATTTGGGTCAGCACTTCCCCACCTGCCACCCCCACAGCAGGGGACTGGCCACCACGGCTTCCATGGTGATGGTGGTGGTGGGGATTGGGGGTTGCATGCAGGGCCTTCTCACTAAGCTACATCTGCAGCCCATTTTTAATTTTTATTTTGAGGCAGGGTCTCACTAAAAGTTGCTAAATTGCCCAGGTGGGGCTTGATCTGGCCACCCTTCTGCCTCGACCTTCCAGCGTGGAGATTGCAGGTGTGCACTGTCCTGCCTGGCAAGGCCGTCCTGATCTGGCTTCTCCTCATCTGTTTTTGACAGTGTTTTCTCAATTTCTGGAATCAGAGAAGTTAAACCTCATTCCCTTCTGAGCTTGCTGGCCTCCTTGGACAAGTGCTCTTGCGATAACAGCTGCTGACGCCCAGGATGGAAGAATCCTGCAGGTGGCTGGCAGGAGCAAGTACTGACCTGGTGGCTGGAAAGGAGCAGCCGCTTCGGTATTAGAAATGTAGCTCTGCTGGGGGCTTTACAAAAATATGTAACCCTCTTTACTTCATGCTCTCTCAGGTTTATAGAAAATAAACTACTAAGGCCCGTGGCAGGAAGAACAGTGGTGCCGTGTGCAGGAATCTGGCTGGTGGGACAGCAGCCTGGGGTCGGGTCCCTGAACGGCTGCGGCACCCACAGGCAGGAGCCAGCAGAAGCTGCACCCCTCTACCCGAGTCCTTTGAGTCAGCTTTTGTTGCTACTAGCAACCAGTGGGTTCTGAGGCCAGGCAAATGCCATTGATACAGATGACTTCAGAACCTCACAATACAATATATGGGAAACATTTTCACTCAACCTGTGAGATGTCTGACACGCGGAGTTGGTGTTCTCTAAAATCAAACAATGAATTCTAGGAACAATGGATGTAAAGAGTAGGGAATATTTATTGAGAATAGAAAGCTTCTGCCTGAAAGGGATAGGAAGGGACGCCTGGAAAGCATGTCGCCCAAGTCGCCACTTCTCAGGGGAAGTTTTATAGAGCACAACCACGTTGGTTCAACATGGGCTGCAGCTATGCTCAACCAATCGGATTACAAGCTTAGGTAATGCAAGTAGAGTGGGCTTGGAAAAATCTAAGATGCTGTCAGGTAGGGGATGCACTGGGGAGCTGGACGCCCACCAAAGGTGACCGATGCCTAGCCAGACCTTATCAGACCAGGCGTTTGCTCTTACCTTGCCTGGTAAGGTTCTCCTTTAGTTCTCCTGAGGCCTGGCCGCTAGCTGCTGGGTCCCAGCCATAGCTGTGGCGTGGTCTCGATCTCTCCGAGGGCCCATCCCTGTCTGAGGGCCCATATATTCCTCCCTAACTTGGCTGTCTGGCACCAGCTCTGCAGCATTATAATCTCCTTCACCTTGTGTTCTCTTGAATCAGCCCAGCAGGAACAAGGATAGACTCCTACAGTGTTGTTGTAAGACTCTTTGGTTTATGTCTTGTGCTCTGAGTAACTACTTTGAAGATAATGATACACAGTGTGTTAACTTTTTATTCTTATTTTGTTATAAAATTTTGTTTTTCCATAAAATAAAAAAGGGGGACCCTAAGTGACCACCGCCAAGCACTGCAGCCACTCCGGCCCCACCCTTCCGCACCACCCACGGGATCCTGCAGCTCCTGGCCCAGTCAGTGCCTGCACGCAGATAATCTGTGGGTGTCACAATCTTCTGTGTTCACTGCACTTGTAGGGCTTCTCCCCAGCCTTTTCCCTTTGTCTCCACGACCCACCGACCCACCGGGAGTGGCCCAGCTGGCCCCAGCAGGCCCCTGCCCTGTGGCCAGAGCCCAGCTGTTGGGGCTCCAGAGCGCTGGGGCTGGAGGGCTGCGGCAGCCTGTATTGAGCTCGCACCTCTGCACGGAGATCTTTAACTCAGGAGTTGTGCAACTGCTTCTTGAGCAACTTCAGAAGTGCTCTAACAAAGCGCATCTCTCCCTGCAGGCAGGGGACCCCGCGAGCTTCAGGCCTAAAGGCCTGGGAGTTGCAGTGGCACCCTCACTGCTGAGGCCCTATGCCAGTCCTGGCCCTCCCGGCACCCCAGAGCACGGTGGCCCAGCACGTACAGGCCTCTCAACTGCACCACGGCTGGGGCAGCTTGGGCTAAGGTTCTATTTTTTTTTTTTTTTTAATATTTATTTATTTATTTATTTATTTATTTATTTATTTGTGTGTGTGTGGCCAGCTCAGCCCACCAGGGGGCGGGGCTGGCTGGCATGTGGTGCTGGGGGATTGAACTGCGGTCCCTTGTACTTTGCTAAGCTTGTTCTAAGTAGGTGCTTTAGACCACTGATGGGCTAAGGTTCTTAAAAATGCTTTCCAAAAGCATTTATTGTGATTAATATCTGTCACTTGTTCCCATTGTTTACTGTTAGTAGTGATATGCAAGCCAAGTTTTGGCAAAACTTGGGGAAAAGGTTGGTTGGTTTTCAGGGTCCCAGGATGGGGAGCCCTCTGTGGGCAGAGAGCCTCTCTCCAGCACTGTAACAAAGCGCAGATGATACCTGCAAGTTCTTGAACACAACGAGCCGCCCTACTTGTCATTGTACACAGACTGGGGAAACTATACAAACTTCATTTGGTACAGGTTTGAAAATAAGCTTTAATAACAAAGTGGCTACTGGGAATGGTGGCACACACCTATAATCTCAGCACTTAGAAAGCTGAGGCAGGAGGATCTCAGGAGCCAGTCTGGGCAATTTAGTGACTTAATGAGACCCTATCTCAAAAGGAAAAACAGAGTAGGGAGTGGTGGTGTACGTCTGCAATCCCAGCACTTAAGAGGCTAAGATAGGAGCATTGTAAGTTCAAGACCAGGCTGGGCTACAAAGTGAGCTCAAGACCAGCCTGAACTGCACAGTGAGACCCTGTCTCAAAAAAAAAAGACTGGTTAGTATCTTAGTACAGGAGTACTTGCCTGGCATGTGTGAGGCTCTAGTTTGCATCCCAGGTCCCCCCCCCCCCGAAAAAGTCTACTACTTATTAGTAGAACTTGAAAATAATTCCAGTGAAAATAACCCCTTCTAGGACCATCATTTTGGAACTTCATGCCATCTTCTCACATTTTTTAACTGAGCTCGGGCCCTTTGAGAGGCAGGTGGGGTGAGGACAGGAAAAAAACCAATCCCTGACCTTAGCGTGACCTTGTCGAGAGAGCCAAGCAAGGCAAGAGGATGATGTCAAGGAGGGAGTGGTCGGGCGACAGTCCCCGCACTCCAGCAGCGCAAAGGGCAGACAGTGATTTGCATGGAAGCAGTTTCGCCAGGGCTGATGTGGGAGCAGCTCCCCACCTGCAGGCCTTCTTCGCCTCTGGGCCTTGTGTACCCTGGGATTTCCTGAAAAGCAAGTTTTGCTGGAGGTGGAATGACCTCTCAGGAGGGGAAGCGGATCCCCGCGCATCTGCCTTCCTCATGGCTGGGGTGGGGTCTGAGGCGCACAGAAGCTGCTCAGCGCTCAGATCAGAGCGAACCGGGAGCAGCAGCTGGGGCAGGAGGCACGGAAACAGCCAAGCTGGCCCCAGCCGGGCTTCCTCCTCCGCCTTCTTCACGAAGGCTCTTGTGCTGTCCCTCAGCAGTGCGCAGGGGCGCACACTCACCTGTGGTCCTAAGGGGCTGCTACAGGCGTAGGCTCAGGACACCCAGCACGCGGGCTCAGCCCTCTAGTGCCACCTCCGCTTGCTCTGCCCAGCGCATCTGCGGAAAGCAGCCCTGGCAACACCCGCTCCTGGCATCTGGCCAGGCCTCCTCCCCTGCAGAGGCCAGAATCGCCCCTCACCTTCGGGGAGCCTTCCTGTGCTTACTCTCCTGGGACACAGGGACACAAGCGGGTGCACTCTGCAGGGTTCCGCTGCTCCCTGAAGCAGGTGGCCCTGCCTGGGGAGAGCTGTTGAGGGCCCTGGCAGTTCTGGGGTCAGGGGAGGCTCCATCCGGGCCGGCCCACGGGGCCCTGGCGTTCTGTCCTCCCTTCTGAGGCTGCTTGGGGGCGGAAGGCAGGGCCCACCAACCCCACAGGGACACTCCAGTCACTCAAGCTGGTGGCCCTTCAGGGGCCCAGATTAAGGCCAGGAGCTGCTGTGGACTGCTCTGTGGGAGGGTCAGTGCTCACCACCCCAGCCATCTCATCAGCCACCAATGATGAGACTATTATTTTAAATTATTTATTTTTCTATCATACATTTCATTCAAATCATAAAACAGTCCAATACATTTTCAGATGTTCTCTTTCTTATAGGATGGACAAAAACATTCACACTTCAACTGACAAAAGCGTCACTCAGAGCTTATTCAACTACAGCTTCCCAGGCCCGCTCTGGGATTCGGTGATGGTCATAGCACCACCAGTCGCGGTCACCATGGTGGTCCCTGAACCACCCTCATGGAAACTGCTGAGGCCCTTACCCTCTGAAAGCAACTTCGGGAAACCCAGGAATAATTAAGTATACAGAAATAGCTCTTCTATAAAATTTCCATATAAAAATAATGGCATTTATTTACAAAGTCTGAGATTCTACAAAATAATGGAACAGGTTAGGTACTTCAATCTGCTAGGGCCTAGCAGAGGCAAGTCCACTGTGGCCTTTGCCTCTTCCTCTTCTAAACTGCTTGAAGCATGTGGCACCAGTGTCGCCTTTCATGCAGGAAAAACCAGAACTATACTATTCTGGAAACAAAACCCAATGACACGTGATTGGGGAAAACGTCTACCAAGGGACTTGTACCACTGTGACCAGAGTGGGCGCATGGGGACCTACCTGCCTGGCCCTGTGCCCTGAGGGCAGTGCAGACACAGGAGGCACTCTGGGGCTGCTCCGGTCTCTCAGAACGCCAAAGGCTAGGCCTGTCATGGTACTACTACAACTTGCCCAGGGAAGCCTTTTACAGAAAAGCTGCTGGGTCATCAGATATCATCTTTCTGGTATGAAAAACATCTCTGACCCCAGTCTGAACAAACAGGTTTATGAGGCCATCTATAATTAATGCCTGGCACGGGGAGGCGTGTCGAGTGACAACTGGTGAGGCTGGAGCAAAGAATGAGAGAAATATGGCTTTTACAGTCCGAACGGCCTGGGGACGGTCCTTCATGACACCGACACACAGCCATTGCATTGCGCAGGGATCCCCCCCAGGGACCAAGGCGAATGAGGATGCTGCCTGGGGAGGAGTTTCTGAGCTGTGAATATCGAACCTGGGATCCCGAGTGAAGAGGCCCCGCTTCTGCTCCCCAGCAGTGGGCACCTGGTGACACCTGCATCGGTATTCAGCCAGGGCCGTCAGGAAGCACAGTGATGAGGGTGTGGCGTGCAAGACTGCATGGCCCTCCCAGGAAGTGGTAGCTAGCAGGCTCCGTGCAGACTCCGCCTGAGGACCAGGCAAGCCTCCAGGCACACCTCTAGCCGAGTGAGCTGGAAGAGCCACCCTTGCCTCCAGTCTAGGCAGAACCAGCACACATACTGGCAGGCCTCAGTGCCAGCTATGCCAGCTCCCAGCGCAGCAAGGCCGGTGGAGGTTCAGCTCTAGGTCCCCCATTTTTCCCTTAGTGTCCTGTGAGCATAGATGTGTATGGGGAAACTGATACCCACAGATTAAACATAAATTTTCAGATATTTTGGTTATACAAAGGGGTTAGTTCCTGAGAATGTTGATTTATGTGGGCATGGAGCTTGACGTATTTAAAAGGTCAAATCTTAGGCAATATTTAGGATTTTTCTCTGTAAGCAGGTGGTCCGAGGGTCACACAGATGCCACATGCAGGCTTCTGGCTGGCACATTAATGAGCATCAGGGGTGCAGACAGCTGTTTTGGGAGCATGAAAGGGAAACGAGGAAAAGTGGCTGTCAGAGAGCCTCACCCAAGCAGCCTATTTGCAGAATGGCTACCCTTAGCCTGTTTAAGAGAGCACTTTATGTATCCAACAGCTTGTAGTATATGTGGAAAGTTCTTTTTCATACTGCGCTAGTTCGGCTGTAAGGTAAGGACAATGAGAACTCTGTGGGCATGTGAGATTTTTCTTCTTTTAAGGGTAGTACTGGCAGCTAAATTTGCCCCATACACAGCAGTCTTTAGGTATGTCACAGGTCACTGACTAGGGACAACCTGTTAGAATCTGACACTAAAAGGCCTTCCAGTCACCCAGAGAGTTGGTGTAGTGGGGCACCCTGCAATTCCAGTCACTCAGAAGTTGAGCTCAGTCTGAGCAAATTAGTGAGACCCTGTCTCAAAAAGGGGACAGCAGGGCTGGGATATCACTCAGTCCGCAGGCGCTGGTTCAGTCCCTAACACTGCACACGCCAAATCTTTATCTGGGTGTGGATCTGGCAGAAACAACCAAGGCAGAGCCTGCCACCTGCTAACCCTTCCCCAACTCACAGACAGACTCGGCTTAAATCACATCAGAGCTGGTGGAAATCTGTTGTCTCTACGACCTAAGAGGCCAGCAAGTTTTGATTTAGCGAACAGTCACATTACAGATGTCTGAGGGGGCCAGGGGCCCCTTCACCCCTGCACCTCAATGGGAATGACAAATAGCAGCCACCATCCCTTCAAGAACAGGGGGATCTGGCATTATTTCTCAAACATGGCAGAGCTCTGTTACAACTGCAAATTTGTTAATGGAAGGAGTTATTGTTTCATCCTGGTAAAAGAAACTGGAGATTTACTTATTTTACAGCCCTGCGTACTGAACCAAAAGCCTTTCACACTCAGCTATCACACTGCGCCCAGCCCATTTTATGTTATTTACTTTGAGATAAGGTCTTAGGTTGCCCTGTAAGGCTCAAACTCGTGCCCCTTCTGCCTTAGCCTCCAGTGTTGTGGGCATACACCAGCACACCTGGCCATGCTGCTTTAAGGAATCCAACTGAAGGCTGCAGCACAGGCGGCGAGCATCCCATGTTCTGGGAGGCAGCAGGCAGCTCCAAGAGGCAGAGGGTCACTGGGAGCCCTTTCTTGCCCTTCCCTCCCCTCATCTAAGGCATGGCGTCCATAAAGGCCCACCATAGGGACTTTCCATGTACACAGAGCGTGAGGGTGAGACACTGCTGGGGGCTGAGAGAAGGTGCACCTGGGAACACTCAGCCTCTGCTGGGCTGCGGTGTAGCGTCTTGCCATGAAGGCTCAAGGGGCTCTGCCCAGGAGCTCAGGGCCCTGGAGCTCTGCTAACTCAGGACAACACCAGCAGAGAAGGCTTTGCAAACTCCCCAAACAGCAGTGTGACCAAAACCCCTGCACGGATGGCAATGTGTGTCCTCAAATAACTTTGTGTGCCACTAACACCAAGCAGCCTGGGTGTTGCGACTGTAGTTTTTTTGCTTTGACTCCTGTATGAAATTGTGTCTCAGCATGAACTTGGACCCAGATGGCTACATATATCTGAGATAAAAGAACAGAATTTCTCTTCCATAACATTTCAACCTAGCCTTTTCCAGGTAAGGTTTGAGATCACCAACCTGAGGTCAACCTGAGGTGACTATGGTGTCACTCAGTGAGATGTCTTGAGCAGTCACCAGAGCTCTCACTAGGGAACATGGACCTCTGTCAATGGCACACATGGACAGCTGGAGGGCAGTGGGTGGGAACCAAGATGGACCAGTCTTTGGTTGCCTTTTTTTTTAAGCCCATGTTTATCAACTTAAAGCACTATAGCAACAGAGGAAGAAGACACAAAGAAACAGCTCGCCAAAAACTCTAGTAAGAATTCTGCTACTTAGAAAAGGAGTGGGTACGTATGTGTCTTAAATTCTAAAACGTATCTTGGGAGCTGTAGTTTAATATCTTAAAGACCAGAAAGAGGATCCCTCCAGTAGAGATGAGGGACCTTTGGGCTGGGCCAGAGGACAGCAGTCCTTCGAGGATGACACAGCAGGAGAGCCCATTTCACCTGACCTGAGCAGGCAGAAATAGCTGTCACAGGCTTGTGGCCACCGCTGCAGCATTCTGGATGCCTCCACCTGGGCGTGTGAGAGAGGTGTGCTCTGAACTGCTAGGACAGAGTCCTGTATAACCTGCCCTGATCTCCCTGCCTCATGGATGTGTGCCAGCTTAGTTCTGCCAGAATGAGAGCTCCGTCTCCAGGGAGCCTAAGCTCAAGCTGTGTGTTCTTCGTCAGTGTTTGCATAAGGTCTTAATCAAAATGCAAGCCAGTGGAAGCCTTTACCTGTGGCTCACAGGAGCATGGCGGGAGAGCTCCAGAAAGGCTTCCCTGGGCAATGAGGGAAGAACAATCCCGGTGGGTCAAGTCTAAGTTTTAAAAAGCTAGCTCCTCTCTGAGCCTTTGCTTCCTTTTAAGGCCTTAATGTATCATTAAGTTGGGGTTTGGGCCTGCTGGCAGATGTAGGCCCACTCCTCTAGTCAGAGAAGCAGCTCTCACCGACACCCCAGTGCAGTATTTCCCAAAGCATCTTTGGCTACAAAATCTCACACTACATACCAACTAGTGTGTATCCAATCAGCTGGAGTGTTCAGTGTTTTTCACAGAAACACTAACTATTGGGTTACTTTGAAATGCAGTTTACCCAGGAATAAATCTAATAGGATCATTTTGATTAAAGTGAAAAAAATGTGGCATGTTCAAGAAACATTAATGTTCATATTCTTGAAATAGACTTCTTTCCAAAACAAAAGTAATGACATTTGGTTCATTTTCACAAATTGCACACTGGGTAAAATCATACAATTACTACAGAGCGCTGTAGGCAAGCGGTTTGGTCATAAGAATTTGCTTTGCTTCATTGTAAATGAAAAAGCTGTATGAAATGCATAGCTTTGATTAAAACTATAGATACAGTTCCTTTCTTTGTAGAGCTCCAGATTTAGAATGCTGGCAAAAGGCAGTGCTGGCAAATGGTAATGCACATGGAAATGCTTTCTATTTTGGCTTCCAGAAGTAGCCCTAGTAAATTCTATGCACCAATGCATTGGCTAATAATGATCATATCAGTTTGACTATAAATTATTCTAAATGTCACTTAAATACTTAAGAGTGCTCGCTCCTTTCTGAAGCTGTCTAAGGCAGCAGATGCATAAAGCACCCTGACTAGACCTCCAACTAGCTGGTGGTCCATCTGCGTGCTCAGGCCACAGCACTGCAACCTACTCCCTCACTACAGAGGCTCCAGGTGACAGAGGAAGGAAACAGGACCACTGCAGCGCAGGCGCAGTTCTCACAGGACCAAGTGGCCATGAGGACCTCGAGGACCCCAACTCGGGGAAGCTAGGCGAGTCTCACTCATGTTGCCGCTTCTCTGGGGATTATGTCCTTGCACCCCCCGGAAGCAGACTTTGTTTGCGATGTGACCTACCGCTCTGCTGGGCAGAGCTTGCATTCACGCTATGTTAACTCTCATTTCAATCAACGTAGTCTTCCTGTAATTTGCTTATTGTGTTTCTCTGGTTTTCACTGAACACACAGTGCAAACAAAGGCAAAGACTGAAGCAATCATTTCAAATACAAGCTCACACTAAAAACACACATGAGCATCAAATATTAAAATGTGACTTTTCTCCTGTCTTTATTCTGGAGAGGAGGAATCCTCCTCCTCATCTTCCTCGTCTTCATCGTTGAACGAGCAGGGGGTCTCGCCTCGGGACTCGGAGCAGTGGGAGGCCGCACTGCTGGACTGCTGGCTGTTTGGGGCAAGGAGCTGCCCGGTTGCTAAGGCCACTTCAGCATCCAAGCATAACCCTTGGTTTACACTAGCAAACAGTTAGAAACACACAGATTCATTAATGCAGAAGGAACAGCTTTTGTAACACACAGACATAAAAGCAGGGAGGAGGTGCCAGTGGCAGTACTGTACAGCGGTGACCCAGCCCTGGCTCACCCTACAGAGCGAAGGCTTTGTGGTTTGCCTAACTTGGAAAAAAATACCTACCTGGACTGGGGTAAGGTGGCACCAGACGTCAAGTCCAAATTTGATGCTGACTGGGCAGAGTTCAAAAGCAGTCCCTGATTTAACCAAGAAGGTCCTGTGGAGATATCTAAGACAGAGAGAGAGAGGAAAAATAACAAAACAGAAGGCTGTGTATATTTTGTAGCTGCTGTTGTGATGGTGTGGGAAAAGCACAGATAATTCACAGATAAGTCTGTTTTTAACTATAGCTAGGCAATTCTGCTGTCATACGAAGAATTCAGGTTTCTGTATCTTCTTGAAGGAAAATAGTTTCTAGAACATATGAAAAAAATCGATGAGGCAAGGGCTGGGGATTTAGCTCAATGGAAGCCCTGGGCTCGGTCCTCAGCACCAAAACCAAAAACTAAACCTAAACTAAAAGCAAAAGAGCCAAAAAGACTAGGCAGAGTAGGGAGAAAGAATAAAGTAAAAGCAGTCATAAACTCTTACTTGTTTTCCCCAGAGAAACCTCCGGGAGGCTTCCTGGTACAGTGGTCAGAGTGTGCCACCCCAACACCTGGGGGTCCTCATCCCGGCTGAGGTGTCCACAGCCACAGCAAGTCACTGGGCGGCATCTCGGTAAGAAGGCAGCCACCCCACACGATCACTTTTTAAGTTCCTGTGAGTTAACTTGATGCTATTATTCATCAAGGATTTACTCTGTTTCTGACAAGATTTTTCCTGGTGTCCTTTGCTTTATAATTCAAACCTGCTCTTATTTTAGAAGGTCATGCTTTTAACAGGGGATGGTTGTAATGAAATCGTGTTTCCAGTGTGGTGAGAAAAACATTATAGTTTACAGAAACTATTTTGGGTATATCCTTGCAATCTTATTTTCTGTGTGTAAGTCACAATTATATTACCACACCGATCAAGTCTCACTGCAGTTTTACTGACTACTCATCTCCCTCCCTAGGATGTGAGCTCAAAGGAGGCAGTGATGGGCACATGCATGGTCTAAATGGCACCCAAGGAGACCTGTTTCTTTCAACTGTCATTTTAAGAAACAGGTAGTTGAAACATAAGAAACAGACTCTGAAAAAAGAAACAAGTTACTTGTACTATAAGATAAAAACCAAGGTATCCTCAAAAATACAATTTGTCAAAACAAACTTTTATTTAATAAGAATTTTTTAAATAACTTAAGAAAAACATAGTATATATCTTGAGATCTTAAGAAAAACTTAAGAAAAACATAGTTCTTTTTTTAAAATATATTTAGTACAGAGTCTACAGGGTCTCACTACGTAGATAGGACTCATAGTGAGCCTCCTGTTTTCAGCCTCCCAAGCACTGGGATTACAAGGGCACTACCACACTCACTCTCAATCACTGTCTCAGCGCGCCCTGGGGGCGGAGCTGGCAAGGCACACTGGGGATCAAACCCCGGCCTCTGCGCTCTGCCTAAGCAGATGCTTTAGTCTGTTGAGCTATCTGGCTGGTCCTGAGATCTGAAGTTATTTATCCAAGTGAGAGGCTGTTCCCATGCAGAAAAGGAGCAAATCTGAATTTTAGAGGTGTTGCACTTGCACAAGGCAGGCAATGTCAACTTAAGAACTAAATCTAGGGGGCTTGCAGGTTAGCACAGTTGTTTAAAACACCTGCTTGGGCAAACTCAGGCGCAGGGGACTGCGGTTCAATCCCCAGCTCCACAGTCCGCACCACACCCACCCTTGAGGCAGTCTGAGCCAGCCAAAAGAAAAAAAAAAAAGAACTAAATCTAACAGGAACCAAACCTCAGTCATCAAACTCTTCCTCTATGAACAAAGGCCAAAGCAAATAAGTTAAAATTACCATTTTGTTTA